TAACAAAAAATATTCTGACAAAATATAATCGGTAAAAATTGAAATTGAATTAATTAAAAAATTCAGATTTTTTTTTATAAATTTGGAGAACTAATCATCCATAAAAATCCGAAAATTTCCTTTTATAAATGTAGTTATTCGTCCAAAATACCCCTTTGCTAAAAAATTGTGTGATTATATGGTACATGTTACCCTATTGTAATATCATACACTCTCAAATCATGTCCATTGATTAATTTCATCCGTTGGTCCAGATTTGTGCATTCTGGCACACAATACTTAGTAAAAACAAAATACCCTAAGCCTATATATATATATACACACACACACACACACACACACACTACAAACCTTACTATTTTTAAAAATTATATTAAGCGCTTGTTCGGCAAAACTAGCTGGTAGCGGTTAGCGGGTAACTTTTAATTTTTGAGCTTTTTGTTTAGGCTAAAAGCTAAACACTCCTGTCGCCGAACGAGATTTTTTTTTAAATTAGCGTTTTGTTAAAAGATAGAAGCTAGAAGTTCCCAAAAGATGTGTGCCGAACACGCCCTAAAACTTACAAACCATTAAACTAAGAGTACAAGCAACCATGAATAAAATAATATTAAAATTTAAATTTAAATTTAACCCTATATAAATTAAATTGTACAAAAAATATACAATATTTATAAGTATGCAATGTAATCATAAAAGATTTTATTTCATTTGGATCTGATTTTTTATCTTTCCATCTTTATCTCTTGATTATCTTTTGTATGGTCCTCAACACTCTTATCATTTTTCAACATATCTTGGCTAATCCCCTATTTTTCCACATATCTAAACTCTATCATTTTTCCACATATCTCGAGGAAAAAGGAAGGTAACTTGCACCGTTCACGCACCAACGCCACTATGCCAAACTACTGATGTAAGGTAACTTGCACCGTTCACGCACAAACGCCACTATGCCAAACTACTGACACTGCTCTTCCTCTCTGCCACCATGGCTATCAGTCCCGCCATTCTCGGCCACAACATCTTTCTCCACAAATGTTCCACCAATATCCTTCAATAACGCAACACCACGAACGTAATGATTTTAGGGATCTACATATTCTTTGCCTGAAACCTGAAAGATCTAAGATAAATGTTATTTTTAAGACAACCTTCCATGATTTTCTTTTTTAGGAGGTGTTTGAGATTCCTTTTCACAACACTTATTAACTTATTAACTTTTAAAAAACTAATTAGTCAAAAATTTAGCAAATTTAATAACACTTTTTAGAATAGTTTTTTTATTAGTTTTAAAAATCACTTTTTAAAAAAGCATATAAATTTTGACATTTTGAAACAACTTTTGACTTTTTAATCAAAATAACTTCAAAATGAATTTTTTAAGCCAAACACTTTTTAATTTATTGATTTTTTTTGTTTTTTACCACAAAAGATAATCCAGACATTTTTAAAAATACTTATTTTACCACCACTATAAATCAATAAACAGTTTTATCGAAGAAAAAAAAAAAAAAAAAAAAAAAAACTCAATTTACTATAATTATAGTTAATAAACACTTTTACCCGAAGGCACAATCACTCCCACATACCCTTATACAATATCTTTATCTAGCTAAATCAGTTAGGTTCCCTAATCTGCCAACCAAAATCGTTGTTGTCACCCGACATTCTCTTCTAAAACCCTAGATGCCGGGTCACGGCCGTTGTCTGCAAAACTGGGGTTCAATCGCTCTCACCAAATGCGACTTTTGACCCAAAGGAAGGTGTTTTTAACCTATGTCTTCATGGTCCTAGCAAGCTTATGGAAATAGATGACCACAACCATGCTTATTATATGGAGTTTTTAGTCTTCTACCTATTTTAAATATATGTTAATGAAAAATTTTGAATCGATATTTTACACGTTTTTTGATGTTAGAATTCACAACCTATGTATTGCACAGGTGTCAACATACGTTGATCTTCAACATAAGCATGTTAAACATGCTATAAGAATGGCCGATATCTATGAGGTTTGTTGGTTACCCTATTGGTTGTAATTTATATTGTTTTCCCCAAATTTTACTGATATATGGTTAAAGTTCTAATTCATCTTCTTCTCATATTTGTTTTTTTGTTCAGTATTGCAGCTAACAAGCATAAATGAAGAAAACCAATGGAGACCTAATCTCTGAAACATGTAGGCAGGTTTTTCTCCCCTGTTTTATCTCAATCACAAGGCAGAAATCCTTTGATGCATTTAAAAGGGATGGAAATGAAAGTAGGTGTATCCAATCATATTTGTTTTGCTTTGTATGTGTTTGCATTTACGAGTGAATAACTGAATAAAAATGATAAGGGAAAAAATGGAACTTTATTGAAATTTTGTTATGCCTTATAATTTTTGGTCTTTTTGTACTACTTAGAAATGAACTACCGCCTACGGCTATTAAATGTTCTTGGTAGTGGGAAAAGATATGGACCTTGTTTATTTGGTTAAGAAAAGCTTAGAATTTTATTCATTGTTGTTTTTTGTATCATGTATGTTGCCCCTTCTCCCCTATGGAGTTGAGAACAACTTGAAATTTAAGTCTTATTTGTTTTCTATGTTGTCATTTTCCCCTAAATTTACAGATTTTCGTGGTTAGATTGGTTCAACAAGGACCATATTATCTGATATAATTTCATATGTAGGTGTTTCGGTTGATTTTATTTATATTGATGGTAAAAGAAATAGACTAATCATATGTTGTTTTTATTGTAAGTTTGTTACTCTCTTCCCTTTATTGAGCAATGATTTAGTAAAAAACAAATTATACTTCGCTACTTTCTTTTATTTCTTATTAAACATAATATTTTATATTTTCTTTACGATTTTTATGTTTTTAATCTTAATTTTGTCTTTTGGTTTAGTGCTCACATCATATAAACCAGTTTACATCATAGTTTTAATTTATTTTTTGTTCATTGCTCACAGTTTAAAACATTAACAGTTTATTGCCTTCTAATCATAATTTAAATCTTAGTTTTCACAGGTTAAGTTAAAAGATCACGAGGTGTGGGCACAAGTTGTGAGTCGTTGATTTCTTAAACAAATTTAACTTCGAGTTATATATATATATATATATATACTAACTTATAAAAGAAATCCTACTATTTCTATAAATAGATCCAATAAAATAATATTATTTTATTAAGACGTTCAACTCTCTAAGCGTAAAGTACAACTAATCATCAATAAAATAATATTAAATTTTAATCTGATTACCTTTGAAATCTTATCTCTTCCAAAAATTTGACCAAATCTCTTATCCAATTAAAATAAAACAAATAATCCATTATATATGCCCTTTTATTTGTAATTTTTTTAAGCTTTATTTATTATTTATACCCTCTAATCGAAATTGACCAATCAGTTGTAAAATCAAATATTTTGTTTAATAATAAGAAAAAATATCTATGTATGATTTATGACTAATAGAAAATTAGTATTCCATTTGTTATTCATGTTCCATGAAATATGTTTGTATTAATTTTATTATTTTTCGGTTTAAAATTTTAGATAGTAAAGTGGATAATAGGATATATCCGTTTAGACTTATCTGTATAAAACAAGCCGAGTTGTTAAGATTAACTTTGATTCTCCCTTTTATTAACTTTATCAATACCAATAAAGGTATAAGCAAGTCACTTCGTATGGATGTGTCCTGATTTCTAAAATGAAGGACTATAAACGTACACTACACACCAAAATATTTATTTTCTTTTGTATTGAGAGGGTTACATTTATTTGTTGCCGTAAAACCAATCGATAACAATATGCATATGTTTTGTGTTACTTGAAATCTAACATGTTTCCGTATAGAACTTATTGCCGAATGAGAAACTATTTTTCGCCGCCGCTTTGCGCGGGTCTACGGCTAGTGTATATATATATATAGAGAGAGAGAGAAATACTAAATTTAAATAAATAAATTGTGTGTAAATTTGTGGAGGTGTAATGAGGAGATAAGTTAAAAAAAGATAACATTTCACTGAGCTAGACGAAGAGATTAATTAGATTTAGAATAAAAATAAACTAAAGGAAGCAATTCAGCAAAAATATGTAACTATGCATTACCCCAAACCCAAGAAGAAACTATATTTTCAAATAAATACAATGAAGAACTCAAATTCATAACAATGGAACACTTAGTAAGTTTTCCGATGCCGGCAATATTTATTTCATGGGTCGAGTGGTTAATATTTTAAGAAGGATTTGAAAATGATAGTTTGGTAATATTATATAATATTTTGATTTTTAGATAATATTTCTAATATTAAATTAACTTAATCCTAATTAAAATATGAGTTTAGATATAGATGTAATTTTTTTAGTTTTAGATGGACATATATGTTGTTATAAATTTTGTAAGGATATTAATGTAATATTGAAAGTTTGTAAGGATACAAATGAAATTTACCAAAAGAAATACACAAAATTTTCATACTTGTTAGAATCGGTCCAGCCGGATTAACTTAACATTTTTGTCGGTCTTTTTGATACATAAAAAATATTTGACATAATAAAGTATGACTGCAAAATATATTATTTATAAATAAAGCTATTTAAGTATTTATATCAATATGAAGACCTTTCACGAGTTCTACAACTTTTACTGGTTCAACACTTCAACCGATGTATCATGCTTAATTTTCATATAAAGTCGATCAATCTTTAGGCAAATGTTTTCAAAGTGTAACTTAGGCATCCACAATGGATGCCCTTATAACATTTGAATTGAATCTCAATAAAAATGATTTAAAAAAGTTAACAGATATGTAATTCTACTGCGCATATACGACCTATTCCATTTTCAAATCCTAATAAGTGACTATGAAATATTCCAGTCAAAGTCAAACTATGTGGTAATCGCTAACTCTATAAATAGCTCCTATTGTGATGCAGATTGTTCATAAATAAACCTTAACACTTTTATCCTACAATTTCGTTCTTTTTTGACAGAAACAACACAAAAAACATGAGATCAGAACTCAAGAGTTTCACCATAATCGCAGTGTTTATTTTGCTGTCCATGAGTTTCGAACATAATAGAGCTTGTAGACTTTTGAATGGAGAGTTTGAAGAAACATGGTTGAAGACTGGAAACCTTATGTTATCATCTCTACAAAAAGGCCTTGTTCGGCCGCCAGGGAACGGATGTTGTAACACAGGTGGCTGCGGTAACCCTTGTGTCGGCTCCAGGAAGGTTGTTGGCCGTCTTCATAGTGGTGGTGCTCCACCACCACCATCACTGACTCCTATTCCAACTTCTACTGATCAATGAAACCAGCAAATGATGTTGGTGCATGCATTGGATTATCGATCTTACAAGAACTCTTAAAGCATTTTTTCAGCAATTTGTTGTTTTTATTTCTTTTTATTCCATTAATTTATTCATGATCCCGTGTATAGTTTAACTAATTGTGTTCGTTTGAGTTTTGGTAAACAATTAATAAAACTAATGCATGGTGCATTTTTTTTTTTTAACTAACAGTAAATGCTGGATTTTATAATTGCCAATCATTTTGTATTTTTCAATCTAATTAATTAAATAACTAAAATAATTAAGTAACCGTCCATAATTAATATGGAGGGTATATTAGTTATACTAACAAAGTCATTAATTTCATCATAATTATAAATCTCTATAATTATAAACGGTTATCAAATTTAAGAAGATTATTAAATATATAGTTAAGTAATTCCGTTTGAATACATGTTAACTATATTAGATTTTTGTATTCTCGTTGTATATTCAACTAGTGCAGGGCCCACATAGGCGAGTTAGGCAGGCCTAAGGCAACACAAAACAAGGGGCATAAATTTAGCCCATTGTATTATCGGTATACGTATTATTTTGGCCTATAAATGTAGCCCACTGAGTAGTGCGTTGGATTTTTCTACCCGATCGACAACAACCTTTATCGAGGAGGCAAAGAAAGTGCGAGAAATTGAAATGCTTATGTGCAGATCTAAAATCCAATCGGTGCTTATAACAATGAAGACTACGGATGAGTATTTAGACTAGGAAAACGGTCGGAACCGGTACTAGAACCGGACAGGACTAGTCCAAACGTAAATGGGATCCGAGGTAGAAAATATAACTCCTTAATGACAAATATAATAAAGCTTTATAAAAATATTATTTATTCTTTACTATAAATGCATTCAATTAGTAATAAAAGCAAACCAAAGTGTTTATCTTTGAGCTAGTTTGAGTTTGAACAAACTGTTCAAACTTTAGGCTCTAAAAATCATTTATATATATATATATATATATATATATATATATATATATATATATATATATATATATATATATATATATATATATATATATATATATATATATATATATAGCCCAAAAATTTTGGATTCCCTGGAGATGTGAGCCTTGGGCAGTCGCCCGAGTTGCCTACCGTCTGCACCACCGGACATAACCGATAGGGCCGGAACCGGGACGATATTCTTGTGGATTTTTGGAATCGGTAGAAACCGGTAGAACCGCAAAAACCAGAACCGTATATTGCTATTTCTCGAGGACTGGTTCCAACATTGAAGACACGGCAAGAACCAGTGGCGGTCTGGTTCGGTTCCTATTTTCCACCAAGTTCGATTCCCGAGCCGATTCCGATGCTCATCCCTAACGTAAACTCTTAACTTAATAATCAAGATGTGTTGATGATGTGGAGTCGAATCTCCCATTAATGTCTTTCTTTATACTCTTGATTTCTAGATACTAGTGGCGGAATCAAGATCAAAGTAAAGGGATATCCCAATTTTATATTTAGGGTAACCATTTTTTTTTCCAGTGTACTTGAATTTCCCCGGTTCAATTTTAAATCCAAACCTTAATTAAATCATTAGCTAACCTCAAGTGTTGTTATATAAAATGCAGTTGAAGTATATTTTGATACTTGAATCGATGTGAGATTCAAAGTAGATATCAAATGAAGTATTAGGATAACAGACTTATATAATAGACAAAAATAGTTGAGTTTACATATTTAGAATAGAATAGCTGGGAAATTAAAAAAAATAGACAAAGGATATGTAATGAGCAAGAATTGAACTTAGGAGCTTTACTTAAATAAGTCGGCACTTTAACCAATAGCTCTACTATTTTTTTGTGATTATAATTTTAAGGGATGCGTATATATACATTATATCAAAAAATTAAAGGATTCATAAACAAAAATTACACTACTGAAATTTTTTTGAGTGGTATTATGGGCTACCCCGGTATCTCTTTGGATCCGCCTCTCCTAGATACCTCTCCAACATTTGATTATTTTTTATATTAACTCTATCGCCTGAATTATGAATTCCTTTCCCGCTTTCTCAATCTAATCGATTTGTTTATAGTGGATACCTTTTGTCCAGATTTTTGACTTCTCCCTACCCTATTTTAATTGATTTTTGTGACTAATGAGTACTAACTATTAATCTATAATGAAGACATGAGTTGGAGAGTTGGACTTCAAAGTTTGCTTAAACCTTAAGAGGTATGATTTTCTATTTGTCTAATATGTGTAATGATTTTTTCTAAATATCTACATTTCTGATTATTGTATCCCTATTATAATAAAAGAGTAGTTTTTAATCTCCTTTTGGCATGTGTCACCATGTTAAACCTCATAATTAATGCAAAATTTTTTTGTCATGTTTCACCTTATTATGGCTTATAATTAATGCATACCATTTATTAACATATTGATTCTCCATTTCAAATTTAAAATTTTAAATTTCCCATTCTAATTACATTAAATTAACAACATTATAATAAAAATTAAAATAAAATTAATACAAATTATAAAGTGATATAATTTTACATATTTATTTAAATAAATGATTATAATTTTATATAACTTAAAAAAACCTCTTAATTAATAATTTATTTAAAGTAAGTTATTAATAATTTTAAATTTTAACTATTAACATTTAATTAATTTTATAACCGTGGTTCCTACGGGTTATAAACTAGTTGTTCTTATAAATACAAGATGATTTTTGTCTTTATGATTTTTATCTTATTAATATGAATTAATATCTTCTACTTCATAAAGTATTCAGCCTTTTGATCTATCAAGAGACTATATAATTTCTAATTATGATATATTTACTTGAAGTTGGCTGATGAGCTTTTAACTTGATGATGGTACTACATTTTTTAGCATCATAGCGAATACACTTTAGATGTTGGAACCTAACGACTTAATAAGTGTGTTTAATAATGCAATTTTGAGGAATCAAATAAAAATGAGAAAAAACATCATAAATGGTCCATGATGTTGGCACCTAACGACTTAATAAGTGTGTTTAATAATGCAATTTGAGGAATCAAATAAAAATGAGAAAAAACATCATAAATGGTCCATGTGTTTTCCCAGATTCTGAAGTTTAGTCCCCGTGGTTTAAAAATCTCATAAATGGTCCCTGTGCTTTCAAAACTTTTGACAGATGGTCTTTATTGCTAACTCCGTTAAGTTTTATCCGTTAACTGAAGGGCATTTTAGTCATTTCACACCACAGGGACCATATTTGATCTTTTCAGTTATTTTTTTTAAAAAAGAAAAAAACTAAATATAATTATTTAATATATAATATCTCTCTCTCTAAGCCACCTCCTTTCTCTCTTTCTTAGCTTATGTCCGACAAGAAAAAAAATCGTCCAAACTGCCACTGGTGAAGAATCACTCTCAACCACGGTAAACCACCAAGAAACACCACTGCCAGCACCCATTTTCCCACCTTATACCTCCGACAATTAACTGCCTAAGCCCCATTTCCCTGTTGCGACCCACTGCTGCTCTTCTTCCCTTCGCTTTATCGCTGCCAACAACTAGAACAAGACCCACAATGGGTCGTCGGAAAAGAGAGACTGCTCCTCTCGTTTTGCGACAGCCCAACCATCCACCACACCTTCTGCAACTTCTTTTTCCTTATTTGACCTACAACTTAAATTACACATACATAAATACAATTAAACTTGAAAACCACCAAATTTACAACAAAATTTGAGTCCAAACACCTTCTGCAACTTCTTTTTCCTTATTTGATCTCCCATGGAGAGTCCAAAATCATATGTGGAGTCACCGGAGCACCAGAATCACAAGACCCCCAACATATAAAGACAATTGAATGAACAGTGAGAGATAAACATCCACATACAAATCAATTTATGGTAGGATGAACACCCACACACTAACTCAAATTGATTTACAGAAACAAAAACAAACATGATTTTAGTTTTTTATTCGAATTTAGGATTCTGATTCTTAAGTTACCATCTACTATAATAAATGAAAGTTTTTTTGCCACATGTCCTCTTCTCATTCATTTGGACACATGACATTTTCTAAAATTTTTAAATTTTTTATTTTCCACTTGTCATTTTATTAAATTAAAATTCCACATTTAATGTGTAATGTAATATATATGTAAAGTATTTATTAGAAAAAGTTTATATATGTAATGTATTCAATACATTAAAGTCTCATTAATTTTAATAATTCAAAATTTTCTCATTTTTCTTATAAATTCAAACTTTTCAAATTGTTAAAATTTTATAATTTTCTTTAATTAAACCCATGTAATACATGGGTCTCACGCCTAGTTGAGAATAAAGATCACAAATGATTTCCATTGAGTTCATATTGAGGAAGAAGAACCAGAATGTGCTGGTTGTGACCGGAAAACCGATATGGGAGGAAGTGGAGTTATAAGTACCAAAATCTGAAGCTATGTTCATCCAAGAATCAAATGAGTGCTTGTTCATAATGAAATCGAAGGCAGATCCTAACCGGATGAATTCGAATAGCCCTAGAAATCGTAAGTGGTTCCTGATGAAATTGATGGAGGAGATCGGTCAACCTTCTTCTCCACCACGACACCATAAAATACCCTAAATGGGAGCGTCAAATTAAATGTCCAAAAACTCCAACTGTAAGCGTCACTATGTATCGTAACTTGGTTTCTAGTTTTAATTTGGGTGAACCACGGAGCCATTAGCAGCTGACCGCAGCGTTTGCAGATGGGTGTTGGAGCTTGGCACCAACGCGTCCATGGCAATGGTTACTGACGCGCTGGCGGATCCAGTAGCAAGGTTTGAGGTCTGGTTTTCTAGCCATGGAACCAGGTCGTCGGCGTAGAACTCCATTTGGGATTTACCGTAGGGGAGGAATGTGGCTTGGTTGACTATTTCCTCAAGAGAGGGAAACAAAGTAGGGGGAAGCAGGCGTCAAAGAGAGAGAGAGAGAGAGAGAGAGAGAGAGAAAGAGAGAG